GACTTGATCTAAGATCTCAGAGACTACGATTTTTGTACGATTTTTTGTCGGATCTTACACGATCATATAAGATCAGATGCAGAATCTTATCAGATCTTAACATCTGATTGTTTGCCCTGGGTATGACCTTCCCAGGTCAAAAAGTCAGATGTAAGATCTTGTATGACTAGATGAAATCACACAAAAAATCGTCGTTTCTGAAATCTTGTAGTAATTATACTATAAGATACTTGCATGATCTTGCAAAAAATCAAGATCTTGTCAGAATCTTGTAATAAGAAGTACTTTAAGATTTCATGAACCACGATTTTCTGTACGATTTTTCGAATGATCTTGTAAGATCATTCAAGATCAGATTCAGAATCTGTGTCAGATCTTAGTATTTGATTGTTCGCCCTGGGTTGTCAAAACCTTAGGTACATATATATCTGATACGATCACGTTATGAAAAGCCGAATTATCTTGTTAAGATCTTGATAAGATCTTGCTTACAAGATGTTTCACTAGGGTATTAGCCCATAATAAATGAAGGTAGACATAGCAACCGATTAGTCTAGTCCCCAGTAAGCATAATTATGAATTCGTTGATGTTTAACATGTCAGTGATCTTTTAAGTTGATCGAGGAAAAAAGAATACATAAAAATTAATATCAAAACTCTATTTGTAGCATTAAAGAAAAGAGTGGCATTGAATAACTTAGCATTTTTAACAATAAGAATCCTCTCAGCACAGAATTATCAACATATAATATAGTTCTTATTTTCTCAACAATCTAGTGACACCTGCCGAATGAGCTTCAATAGATAGAATTACATGAACCCAATCGAAACTGACTTTGATGCCTCTGATTAAGTACTCTGAAATCCATGTTATTGTAAACAAGCATTTTGCGAGCGTAATTAGCATCATTATTTTTTTTGACAGCTATTCACAAATGGGTTTAAGCGAAACTGATGTTGCTAAACAGGTTGACTCTTTTGTTTCTTAAAAACAAATGTGATTCTAACATTTAAAATTTAGATCCAACATATGATTGCATTTATTCAACAAGAAGCTGCTGAGAAAGTCGAAGAAATCGAGGCAAAAGCTGAAGAAGAGTTCAATATTGAGAAAAGTCGGTTAGTTTCTCAACAACGTGTTAAAATCATTGAATATTATAATAAAAAAGAAAAACAAATTGAATTACAACGAAAAATTCAACATTCAAATTTAGCTAATGCTAGTCGTCTTTCTATTCTTAAAGCTCGTGATGATTATGTTCAAGCTTTAAAAGAAGAAGCAAGAAAACAATTAACTATATTAACACAAGACCGATCAAAATATCAAACTATTCTTGCAAATCTTATTGCACAAGGTCTATTTTTGCTTATGGAAAAAGAAGTTACTCTTAGATGTCGTCGAAATGATTTTCATCTTGTTCAGCAACTTACTCCTGATATTATTCAGAGATATAAACAAGAATTGAAACAGAACGATATTAAAATAACTGTTGATGATAAAAATTACATCGCAGATGATTCGTCAGTGTTTGTTTTTTGATTCTTTTTCAAAGTTGACCTGGTTTTGTTTTAGAGCTGGTGGTATTGAACTTTATGCCATGGGCGGAAAAATCAAAGTTTCAAATACAATTGAAGCTCGACTTTCGATGATATTTAATCAAATTCTACCAGAAATTCGAGAAAAACTATTCGGTATCAATCAAAATAGAAAATATCATGACTAATTCTTTTCCATCTGAACACATTCGAGAAAGCAGAGTGCAATTTGAAATCTCATTATATACCATTATTTTTTATATTTAATCAATGCCAAATATGTTGTATGTGTATGTGACTATCGAATATTTTAATTTTACTTATAAGAAAAGAATATAACAGAAAAATAAATCTCATGTTTTTAATATTTCAAAAGAATATTGTAAAATTAATTTTCTTTTTGAAACATAATTCTTTCATTTATTTTCAAAAAGAAAAAAAAAGAGACAGATTAACTAAAGAATTTATTTTAAAAAAGTGAGCATTTTTTGTCCGCGTGTAACAATCATTTTGACTTGGTCATTATTGATATTAATTATCCAAGTAATATTACTTATATCAGAATCTAATTGATCCGTTTTTATATTGATTGACTGTCCTTTTGTATTAATCATCAGTCGATGTATACTTCCGACAAACCAGCATTTATGTGAAGACCATTCTGAAAGCCACGTATCACGTGTCCATCCATTAAAACGAAAACCTGTATGAAGTTTCTGTAATGATGGTGAGAAAATGTCAACGCGCCATATACCATTCCATTCAACAATAAGTAAAGCAAGAAGAAATGAATCATCTGAGAAGCAATTATTAGATTAAAAACAAGGAAAAAATTTTAAAAAAGTCTATTTCACCTTTTGATGATCGAATTAAAAAAATATCTTCAGAAATCGAGTCACATAAATGACGTCGTTTCCAAATACGTTTTCCTCTTGGATATGTATCTAAATATTCACCGAAACGGTATAAAATAAATAATCGTTGATCATTTGTTGAACAGATCGATGACATTGAACGATTTTCTTTTAATAAATGATAATCATTTATAAATTCAATTTTTCCTATGGATGGATTTAATTTATAAAGAGAAGTTGTTGAAAGAAAAATAAATGAATCAAGATCACATGAATAACACATATCGACCAAAAACGATGGAAGATAGAGACACATCACTTGACAACAATTACTATTGAATAGACGGATCAAAGGTCGAGGATATTCATCATAACTAACGACAAATGATTCAGATGAGGTCACGAGAGGAACAAATGAACGTTCAATTGCATATTTTTTTACAGGACATAGAGATGAAAGTAATGATGTCATCTAAAATAAAATTTTTATTTATAAATTTTTACTGCTTAGTACAAATTAAGTATGACTTATATCTATTTTTCTATTTATTACGATCTTTGTTCACGTTCACGTAGATAAGTGATCATTCTCTATAGTTAAAGCGATGTGTGCGTCTTCTTCTCGAATATCACTGTGAAGAAAGAAAAAGAATAGAAGCAACGTGTCAACGAAAAAAAAAGAAATTAACCAGTAATAGTGTTCCATGTATTAAAGTTAATCATGTCTTTCTAGATTACAAAAGAAAATTCACAGAAGAAAGACTTTACTTATCTTTGGATTTTTATTTTCTTTTGAAAAAATTCAATTGAACGATTGTGCGGGGTATAACGGTATATATATTACCTATATACTAGGAAGAATATCGTTCTTTTTTCTCAAAAGATTCATGTTTGCATAGTATTTTAATTATCCAATAGTAGAGAATATATCAATTATATGTTTCTTTATGAAAATTGAATGTATTAAGTTTTATATAAATAGTTTAAATTTAAATAAACGCCGATAATAACCAGAAAAGGTGATCTTCGTAGCTTAGACTGCTTACATACTTTCGTATTCAATTCAATATCCATAAGAGATACGACAAATAATACCTATTATGATCACTTAAGATTAATTTAGTGCGTTGATATTAGAGAAATTGTAATAAATGGATCATTTTGACTTAGATTTGATGAAAAATAGTTTTTAACCATTTTACAGGTTTATATCATTTGCATTTAGTAACATAGAGATACTGTTTTCTAGAGACATCTGTATAATTCAAACTGACAACAATTGTGAAAACAAATCAATTTTGAAAAGCTTAATTTATAAGAAAGAATATTCTCAAATTTTGAATTAACTCTATCTGACTATAAAATAACAGGAACGACCTCATAGTGATAAAGAAATATATTATAGTCTTTATTATCCAATCATTATTCATGTAGATATCATATACATATTATTATTATTTTCATCAAATCGTTATTTGTTAGTTTACTTGAAGTTGAAAAACAAAATGTCAAATCTGCCCGATGACTATAAACCACCCGATCCATATAATCTTCCAACAGGTCCGTTAGATACAAGTACATCATCTTATGGCTTTTCTCATACGATGATTCGTATAAAGGACCCTCATGTTTCACTTGATTTTTATACACGTATTCTTGGAATGACTCTTGTTCGAATAATGCCAATGGCTGCTGGTAAATTTACAAACTATTTCTTATGTTATCCTCAATCAGAAGTACCAGATACTGATAATCACGATGGTTTAATGCAATGGTTATGGCAACAACAAGGTATTCTTGAATTATGTCATAATTGGGGCACAGAATTACCTTCAAGTGGATTCGAAGGCTACAAATCTGGTAATGAACCTGAGCATAAAGGATTTGGACACATTTGTGTATTTGTTGATGATCTTCATAAAGCTTGTGATCGATTCACTAAACTAGGTGTACAATTTAAAAAGCGACCGGAAGATGGCCAAATGAAACATATTGCATTCATCTTAGATCCAGATCGGTATTGGATTGAAATTATACAAAAAAGTGCTGGAGATAAAGAACATGCAATTCCATAGGCATTTATTTGAGCAATTAATATATACATTTCAGATGAAAAAAAATGATTTCTTTTATTATGATCCAAAACCTTTTTCCTTTTGGGGTTAATTTCATTGATTGTAAAACATTTTTATCAAATAAAACGAGAATGAGATGTCATAGAAACAGTGAGAAATTTGATTGTTCATTCAAATCATTCTTTTGCAAATTAGTTCATTCTTATGAACTCTCATGACATAAAAATTGAATTTTCACAATGAATGTTCTCAGTAGATATTATTCAGAGAAGCTGTTTTTTTTTATTAGTCTAATAGATAAAATGAATTGTAGTATCTATCGTTATAAATAAATAAATTTAGTGTTGACTTATAGTGAACAGAATTCACTGGAATATATCAATGATACTAGGTATGTTCTCTCAACTTTTACTACTATCTACTACAATATCTAAATTACTGAATCGATAATGAATATTTTCGATTTAAAATTAACATTTTCTGTTGAATATTTAATTTTATATTTAAACGTCAAAATTTCGTTCACTCATTTATTGTTTCTAATAGATGAAGTTGACTGATAATCATCGTCTCTCGCAAAAGTACATTTCTAATATTATGATGTGTATCGAATTCTTTTTTTGTACTACTGGATGGAAAATTGCTTTACTCAAAAAATGATAATATTTACTTATATTTCAGTATTCTTTAAAATCGTACTAAAGATTTTATTAACAATTCAACTTTCTTTTTTAAATATTGACTTTTGTTTTTAAACCAATTTATGTATTAGAATAGAACACATAAGCAGAAAAAGAAGTGATTTCACCAATTTGTACTACCATTTCTCAATAGGAATTACAAAATTAAATTAACATTTCTCATTGTAAAAAATACAAATAATGATATTTTTTAATTAAATGTAGGAGGAGACGATGCTCCACGAAATTGACCGGTAGATTGTCCAGGTACAATAGTACTTCGATGTCGAACTAAACGCATTCGAACAATTTGTGTAACGTCATCTCTTTGTGATTTAGTCCGAAATAAATTCATCAGTCTTCCGAAACAATATAATTGAAAATAACGATAAAATAACTTTCGTATTTCATTTCGAAATGATCTTCCACTTAAACAATACACATAAAAATTTAATGAGCAATTAGATAAGATGACAACACTTGTCCAGTATGATAAAAGGGCATCAGATGTTGACCAATGAACAATTGTTGCCGTTAATGATGAAAAACAAAAAAGAAATGAATGTATAATTAAGACGATATTCATCCATGATGTACGTGGACGATTATGTACTATTAAACCATCGACACCATCTTTACTTTGAAGTGAACCACGATAACTTGAACGATTATTAGTCGATGGACCATTGGTTGATATGGAAGATGTTGATATAACAACATGAATGATTATTCCAATATCAAATAAGATAACAAATAAAGATGGAATTAATTCTGAAAGTATTGAGCGTAATGTTGTGTAATTTAAACCAAATCGAACATCGCTTAAAAAACTATACCATGATGTTGAAATTGATTCTTTTAAAGTACATGCAGATCGATATGAATGATTATTTGTTGAATTGTCATCTTTCACTGAATAATCTTCTTGATATGAAGTATTTGATAAACTATGAAAATTTTAATAGCAATGAGATTTTTACCTATAAATAAGTAAATTCTTTTTCTGCCCAAAATTTTATTTTTTCTTCTTTTACGGTTACATGTAGAAGTTAAGAATCCATTGTAATGGTAGATCCATAGTTACATGTAAACGAGACTTTATTTCTTTCGCGGTGAATACTATGGCTTATTGGAAAATGTGATGTTGGATATAATTTAGTTAACAATTCATTTTATTGAAGAATTAACGTGTCGGCTCCATGAGCCGCGCTTAGCTCAATCCTGAAAGTGCACAATAGAGACAATACCATCGTACTCTCAAAAACAAAATGATACCGTAGATAGTAGCTGTATAACTAGGGTTTGAGGCTTAGATGGGCGTTGTCCATGCGCTTTCAAAAGATACACAAAGGTAGCATTACTTTTGTGGAACTCACATATTTTTTTCGACGAAAATAGTGAGTGTATGTTTGATGTCGAAGTTTTCTGACTACCTGCCCCACTCTACACATTCCAAGGTCAAATTGAATAAGAATCAGCTTAATGATTCCGATCTCACTATTTGTGAAAAATAACTCCTGCATATGCTGATGAAACCACGAATTAGGCAAGCGAAACCAGTTCCGCGCCATTCGAGTACCGCACTCTTTCCATTAGAAAAATCTCTACTGTGACTTTCTTATTCAAAGTATTTCAAAAAATCAAGTGAATACAGTTTCAACAAAATCACATCCCGTTATGGAATTACATGTCATTTTAATCGATCTATAACGTATATGTAGTGCCATCAAGGCCGCATAGCATACGGGAATGGCACCATTTTCGCGTCCGAAGGTATCAAATAATTTAATAACTATTTACGAGGGGTTTCTTAGAATATGTTCTTGAAATCATTTGCGAGCGAAAACTATCTATTTATTAGCACCACTTTTAGAAAGAACTTCCGTGTTTCACAGATACAAATCAAATGTGAATGACCTGATCGCTCTACTGACTCGATTCACAATCAACTCGAGGCTTCGTAAAAAAGGTAGACGTACAGTCCGACGAGAATATACGAAAAAATATGTTGAAATAAAAACTTTTATTGGGACTGTCACGACGTGGTTCACCAGAAATGTTTATAGTCTCGATGCCACTCTTTTCTGAGGAGAAAAAACGTATTACAATCAATTTCTATGCATCGTTCATTTCCCACCCAATAAATTTCAAATAATGAAATTCGACGTCGTTGTTTTCGAGTACAATTCAAGATAATGTGAAAAGAACTCTTATGATCTGTCTGAAAAATAAATCACGAGAACATTGTTTCGATGAAAACATTATGAACACATATATGGAGTAAAAAATAGTTCTGAACAAAACGACGCAGTCACACTTGCACCCCTCAGCGGAAACAGTAGTGACAGAGATTTCTGATAACATTCATCAACAAAAACAAATCACTTACAGTTGGGCCGATCTTGGGTATAACAAAAGATCTTAAAGATCTTTCTTGTAAAGATGATATACGAATATTCTGGAGTAATCATGCCGTGTTCAGTATACGAAGCAAGGATATAAATTGTCTGACCGAAAAATGCTCGTCGCTTAATCAGCTAACTCTGAAAGTCAACCTCATTTTGGTCTTTGGTCGAAGAACAATATCGAATATTGAGTAAGATCAAGCTAAACATCGCACTCACTCTGCCTATGGCCACTTCGAGATTGAAAAAACAATTTAATTTTGTACGAGTACTAAACCGTTCCTAAGACAGCCTTACTCAACTCCACTCCGCTTCATGGTTACACCACTACCAGATAGAGCGATATTTTTTTGATTCTTGTTACCGCAGTCAGACACTCGATAAAACAATCAAACATTTTCCTCGCAACCATGTAAAAATGCGTTTCATTTGAAGGTAAGAAACCAGCTCCTCGTCGGTCGTCGACGCCACTCCCGATTTGTCGCTTTAGTGTGCCCTCCTTCCATTTTTGTGAGAAACCTCATTGAACCTGTTATTACGAGTTAAAAAATACCGGCGAATTACAAACAGAGATAAATTTGTCTTAAACGAATTCGAGTATTAGCCTAATACCAAGAGAATTTTTCAGAGCGTAATTTACTTTTGAATAAACTTTAGAGTTCAAGTAATTTCAGTTCTACTGCAAAAAATTACTTTGTGCTCACACAATTTTCTAAGAAAAAAGTACAAAAGTACCAAGTATAATAATCAGTATCCAGTGTCTGCAATTAACTAAAAAAGACTCATCGTTTTAAATTAAATTATCTAGCATATGAAAAATATGTAACTTATGTTCATGATCTATTCTACTAGTATTTTTGCTGTCAAGATGTGGAACATCTATTTTCCTCAATTTTTCTTTAATAACATTTATTTGAATAAATTAATCTTCGTCACCTACAGAAACATTGCCAAAAATAGATCATGATAAATTTTTTTAAAGAAATTATTTTTTGTCATTGCGATATTAAATATTCAATTTGTTGCTAAATGATCTTACACACAACAAAGGTGAACATAGAAGAATATTTTATAGTGATTTATTGCTTATGAAATGTTTTAATTCAATTTAATTATTGTTAAATACCTGAACGATAAAGTTGATGATATATCCTGTTGAGTTATAATTCGATTATTTGGTAAAATTATTAATCTTGGTTGATAGAAATAAACAGTTGGTCCAGTAAGAATACCAACAATAATTAGAGAAATAAATGTCATAAAATAAAATTTATACCGTTTAAAGAATGGACGATTTGTAAAAAATCGATAATTTATGGTGACATACGTGAAACGTTCATATGTCCAAGCTACAATTACCAAAGCTGACAAAATACGTAAACAAGATGAAAATCTATATAATTTACAATTGAACCATGATTGACCAACTTTGTATGTTAACCAACGACGAGCACTTGAATGTAAAAGTAATGAATACCGAAAGACACATAATAGATTTATAACTAATGATGCAATTGCTAGACGACCATAAGTTGCTCGACGAAATTTTCGAGATGAAAATACAATAAGACCAAGAGTATTTCCAAGTGTACCGAGAATAAACATTATTATACAAATCCAATCTACAATTTCACTTGTTTTTTGACGCCACATGACATTATATCTGGAAAGTGAAAATTTACATAGATATACTAATTTACAGATATATAAACACGTATATATTTCTATATTGATAGATAGAGAACAATATATATGATACTAGTCTCTTGTGATTCAAAACAATAAATCTTTATTTATAATAAAAAATGATTTGTATATAAAAAACAATCAATCTTCTTTTTTTGTTTTACACTTAATCTACATCCTGATTGAAAACGGCTCTATGAAATGCTATATAAATATATATGAATCTTACGAAGAAATCTTTCTCGTACTCAAGAAGCATCCTCAAAAAACTTAACAATCCATTTAAACTTAAATGTTTACATATATATGCGTAGTGTCGTTGATGAAAAGTATTTGTATTTACTTAATAATAGACATTTTACATTGATATAGTTTGAAAACATAAGCTAGACTACTGAATTTGTCTATTAGATATATAAAGTTTAAATTAAATAGAATAAAAATGGTTTCAAGGGTCATCCATGAGTATCTAAGAAATTTTTATGCATGCTGTTTTTCCAGTCACAGCTAAGAAAAAATTAATATCTAACGATGATTTTTATCTACGATTTAATGTCTAGAAAGAAGAAAGATCTCATTTCTGTTTTGTTAATATATATATATAAAGTAAATGCATTACTTGACTAAAGACTCGGAATTAAATAAAGAAGCCAGTGTGAAAATATGTGATTTTGTAGATCTCTTGACACGATCCGAAAAAAAATACAAAAGTTCACAATAGGACGCCACTTCTTTGTTTTTCTCTTTTGTATTCTCTGTTTCTCTTCGTTTCATTGAATTAACTAGTCGCAACGCAGTAGACTACATCCGTTTCTAGCTAAGCTCTAATGTTTTGCCTAGAAAAGAGAAAGTGACATTCATCCAATTCGTTTTCTTCTTTTCGATTAACTTTAATTACAATCAGCATGTTTATCGGTATTGAGAGAACTTCAATAATTTATTTTCTTCTTCATAATCGAATGAATTTTTGAAAAATATCTAATAGAACTATTTCTAAAAAGAAGCAAACAAAGCTAGACATGCTGATGGCACTTACATCTAAGTAATTACGATAAAAATATCCAGCAGACGATTGATTTGGTTTTGTTTTTCCAGTAGTATTTATATATGGTAGACAGTATGCTGACAAGACAAATGGATTTTTCATTACTTTTTTTTGACAATAAATGATGATATCTTTTCCAGTTGTGCCCATAATTAAATACGAAATATCTTTTTCATATCAATTAAAGTAAATATATAAGATTTATTCTATTACCCAATTATTAAGCTCAATGAACACTGAAAAACATTTTTAATATATATTCATATTTATTATTTTCTCTTCTGTTACTTAATAATAATAAAAAGATTATAAAATGATTTTATTGCAATTGCAATATATAAGGTTCTCTTTCTCTTTTCTTCTCTCCTCTCCTCTCCTCTTCTCTTCTCTTCGGCATTGGTTAATGTCAGTTTTGGCAGTTCTTCTTTTTGTGTTGTCGTCTATATAATTTAATTAGTTTTAAAATAGTTATACTATTAACGCAATTACTAAAAAAGAAAACTGAAAAGTACAAAATTCGATATGTAAATATGCCATTCAATCGTCATTCATATTAACTACTGCATATATTTTTAATACCATTATTTGCAAGTGTCTTCATTCATTATCTATTACGTTTGGAATATTCTCGTAAAAAGAAATTTGAAGTAAGTATATAGCTAGCTATTTGAAAAGATAATTTTGCAAATAAATGGTTCGTTTATTTATATAGAAATATTATGTACTAATCTCAAGCATTCAGATTTGGCAAAAGTCGATTCATTTAGTAATCAAAAACTATTCATCAAATATATCAGAACAGAAAAAGAAAATTCTATAACAAGTTCTCCGTGATTGAAAGAAGCGTATCACTTTTTAAAATTATTATTGAGAATGCCTATTGTAATTAAATTAAGATTAGTAAAAAGAGGGATACAACATACTGATAGCAATCGATACTTCAAGCGCATGAATGTCTACAATAGACAAGAAAAAAACATCAATACACAAAAAACTCTCTGCGCGAAATGACCGATGAGTATTGATTAATAGTTGTCTTGTGAAATATTTCCATCTGTTCGTCTTGAATCATTATTTTTTCTAAACATCTGTAAAGACTAATAATACTAATATCATTTTAACAAATAAACAACTGAGTAATAAAATGGCTAAATGGTTCTTTTCATTATTTTTTATTTGATTTTATGAAAAATCATTTGTAAGTTTTTATGAAACTTGTAATATTATTTTAGTTTTATTGATAAATAAATACTATTATAGTGAGCGATGCAAATAAACGTGAATACTATTTATTGTTTTGATTTTTGAAAGCTATATAAGTTTTTTTTCTTAACTGTTGATATGTTGACACGATGAAAAACTATAATCAAGCTAAACAGTACAATTCTTACTGGATTCGTTTTTACTTTTGTATGTCGATCAAAAATAAATAGACAGGACAAAAAACAAAACAGCTATTTTTATATTTCTTAAAGCCGTATGGCGCCACTACAATTAGCAGATTTGTCCTTTCGGGTAAATTATTTTTCTTTCCTTTTTTTTTAATAATAAATGAAATGAAATAAAAAAAATGTCGGATGATTTATGGTGGGATAGACTCAACGAAAGAAAAAGTAGTTCATTAATTATTCTGGGTAAATATCATTGGGATGTAATGGATGGAAACAAAAGAAAAAAACATTGAGACAAGCAGATATATATTTCATAGTTAATATTGACAAAATAGAGTAAAATATTGTTCTTATGTTTTGTCCATTGAGTTCTTCAGAGTTCTAGTTCTACTATTATTATTATCTTTGGCATAGAAAAACATCATTTTCAATAGTAAACAAATATCAGTTTTCTATAACGAAAAAAATTCATTATAGAATATTATTGATCAAAAAGAAAGAGTGCAGTTTAGAAATATTTTTGATTGATATTTAACGGAAAAATCTCAATGGAACCACTAATACCACTTCCAATCGATTAACAAAATATCATTGGCACGTTTCGTTCTATTAGTTCTTTTTCTTCGTAAAAGAAAGACACTACACTTAGTGAATATTTTAGCAATAACGATTAAGACGAGCGAACTAAATCGATCTGAAAATATAAATATAAAACGATTGATTACATCTAGATAAAGATTAAAATAGAGAAGCAATTGATAGTCATGAATATTTACTAGGCCGTTTGATTTCTTCGTATTACTGTGAAACTAAAACATTAACAAACAAGTTTGTGTAATCAAAAACTATGATCAATACTTGAAATTATCAATAATAATAATAATTTCATTTTTGAAAAAATTCACGATGAAGAAAAATTTACTATTTACTAAAATAATTAAATGAATCTTTAGTTTTATTCAAAAAAAGAAAAAGAAAAGATGTTAATCGGAATATAATATTCAGTATCGTTTATAATTCTTTGTTTTCTTTTATTTGAATAATTTACCTATGTATACATTTATCTGATTTTGAAAACATATTCGATATAAAGAAATATGTAATTTTCATGTTTTACTTGGAAAATATATTCTCATATAGATTTTCATCAATAACTTCTATTTCTAAAAAAGACGAAATTCTTTTTCACGTTTTTCTCGTAAGAAATTTGATACATTAATCAACGTTGCAAAAGTGAGTGTCGACTACTAACTCTCAATATTTTTACTTTTCACTGAGTAGGAGAAAAAAGATGTCTATTAATATTTTATGAAAAACTATCAAATACAGACAGTATAAAGTTTTAAATAAATCAATAGGAATATTCATCTCTCGTCAATGTTAATGATAGGTTTTTTTTGTACGATTCATTAGGGAATTCAACAACGAAAACATTCATCAAAATGCTTTTTACTTAATTTATTATTCAGCATCATTATTTATGAAGGGCTGAACTTAGTATACGATATCAAAGGAGACATTTCAATTCGGAGAAAACTTAAAATAAAAATTAAATTACAAAAAAATTGTTTCACTTGCTATTAAAAATATTGTTTTCTATAATGCTAGTTTTGAATTAGTTTCGCGAAAGATTCGATAGGAGATTCTAAAGAATACAATGTTTGTGTTCAAGTCGAATAATTGTTGAACACCACACATTTTATTTTAGTGTATTCTGTAGCACACGAATTTCTTGTTTTTGTGTCGTTTCAGAAAATAAAATTTGTTATTCAACGCTTATTGTATTTTTGATCATACAAGAAAGAATTCATGGTTATTTGAACTAACTCAAATTAAGAAAAAACATGTACATGATTTGTTTGAAATGATTTTCTCAACTAAAATATATATTATTCTGATTTTAGAAACGAAGAATTATAATATTATCATTTCGAGTCGATTCTTTTTTTATTCAATAAACAAAGCAGCATAGATTATTGTTTAGTTTTTCTCTTATCTCGATCATCTTACAACGATAATATGAAATCTAATGAATTGTTGTTTCTTTCAACAAAATTCAATAGAACAATTCAAGATTATTTAAAAGACAAGACCCTCATTAAGTTTTCTCGATTGAATTCATTAGTCACGAACATCAATATTGACTGTCTTTCAATCAATTTTTTTTCAAAGTTAGATCAATCTAGTTTTTGTTTATTTATTGATATCCACCAGAAATGAAATTCTTATTCGATAATAAAACATTTATGATAGAAAATAAAGAAAAATACCCTCAAATAAATAATTACTTGCATCAACTGCGAAAACATTACTTATTGTTAACATCAATGACGTGTATTTCGTCAATCAAGAAGAACTTATTCTAGTTACTTGCAAATTGTCGACGATTGAGCTATTAAATATTCTATGTTTACGTTTGTCTCAAAATTTTAATCCTCTTACACTCGGGTAATATCTGTATGAAAATCACAAAGAAATCAAGC